AAGCCAGGAAACAATCGGCAGCTGCAGACCCTGTTGGGGAGACGCTGGGGACCACACTGGCAGAACACAATTCAAGTACACCGGGAAGAGAGCGAGCCCCACTCATGCTCCTGGTGGACACGAGTGCAGCAAATTTGTCCTCAGAGTACTGTTAGTGTTGCAATAGTGTCAAAGCCATCCAGCAGAAGCCGACCTGTGTGCAACAGTGATGGAACTTCTTAGAAGGATGGGAGCAGAAAGACAGAAAGCATTTGGGGTTTCTCTGTCATGGGGGTCCTTGGGTGCACTGGGACAAGGAGCTCGAGAGCGGTGCCCATTTCCTGACAATTTTGCCACAAATAAGCCCGCAGGTATGACGCAGGTGCACAGCACCGGCCTGCACGGGATGCCACCAGCACTTGAGTTGAGTCTTCCGCCTGCGCTGACGTATTTCTGCCCCGGAAAACCTTGGGCCTCTCATCCCGGCACTTACAGAAGCCTTCATATGGGAAAGCGCGTGACAGAAGCCAGGAAATGAAAAGGCAGCAGTGCAGGAAGCCAGGACACAGCCCATGCCATTAGCTGGGATGGTTTGCATTTGGCATGAACTTGTCAGACAAAAAGAACTTCCACAGAGGGTGCCTCTGGGCATGAGGCGGTGCTGGACAACTATAAAAGACAGCCCAGCTCTCTCCTCTCTCATCCACTTCTCTCCCCTTCTCCTTGGGAACCAGGTGAGTGTGAAGCCTCTTCTGCTCCTCCTTCAAGATCAGGTCTTTCCTCCGTGTATGTCTCAGGTGACACGGGCTGTCCTAGGCCAGAGCTGGGAGCTGCTTCCCATGGGAAAGGGAAGGGGGAGAAGTTCTTCTGCAGAGAGAGCCTGGGACTGAGTGGAGGTGGCTCCGGGGCTTTGAGCTGGGCACCGTATGCTGGGCTCGGGGGTGCCTCAGCTCCACTGTGGCTGGGTGCGTTGCTGCTTCTCACGTGCCTCCGTTTTCTGCTCCCTGCTTCCCTCTCCCCCAGGTGCACCTCCGGCCCTGAGACATGTCCTGCTGCAGCCCATGCCAGCCCTGCGTGCCCTGCTGCCAGCCCTGCGGCCCGACCCCGCTGGCCAACAGCTGCAATGAGCCCTGTGTCAGGCAGTGCCAGAGCTCCACCGTCGCCATCCAGCCCTCCCGTGGTGGTGACCCTGCCCGGCCCCATCCTCAGCTCCTTCCCACAGAACACCGTTGTGGGCTCCTCCACCTCCGCTGCAGTTGGCAGCATCCTCAGCTGTGACGGAGTCCCCATCAACTCGGGGGGCTTTGACCTCTCCTGCATCACCAGCCGCTACTGTGGCAGAAGGTGCCCCCCCTGCTAAAGCAGCTGGCAGCGTCCTTGGGCACGACCCTCTGAGACCTCAGAATATGGTGCTGGACAGAAGATAGAGCTTTGGACCTGGCTTCTCCTGCAGAGGGTGGCAGGGAGTGGCCAGCCTGCGCTGGTTGCAAGCGAGCTCTAAGTCTACTTTTCCTTCGTGCACTGTCTTCCCTCTCTCATTCCTTTGCTGTCACTGTCTCCTAACGCCAGCCTACCGGGAACCTGTTGGCCTCCCTCCCTCTGCAAGGCAGTCGGACGGACACCCTGCCGGAGCTCCACTGCATCTTAGTGCCTGGCCCTGGTGCTCCCTGGGAGCCACCTCCTTTTCTTCTTCAGACTCATTAAAGTTGTGCTGCATCCAAGCTCGCGCCTCCGAGTCCTCCTTCCTTCTGGGACAACTCTTCCAGTCTGCTCAGGAACAAAAAGGGGGTTTTTGGAGAGGATGCGTTTGGGCGCAAAAGAGGATCCTTCCTCATTCCCAGGGGAAGGAGAGGGTAGGACTCACTGCACCAGGTTGTCTTTTGTGCCCTGTGCCCTGGAGCTGAAGGAAGACATCTCTGGCTGCGCCACAGTTAGTGGCCATCAGTCTCTGCAGCCTTGCTGCCTCCCTTCCCAGGTGGGCCTGGAGCACTGGGCCCTGGACCACGTTCTGTGAATGAGGAGCCCAGCAACTACTGCCCTTGAGTGAGGAGCCCACGGCTGCGGGAGGCCAATGGATGAGGTCCGCAGCCCCTCCGGCTCTTGGAGAACAGCCCTCCTCTCGCCCCGGATGCACCTCTGCTGGGGAAGGAGGTTCAAATAGATGTTGGCTCCAAAGGCGGCAGGAGTGGCGCTGGGGGAAGAGTGATGCCTGGGGACAGCCCACAGTCTCATCTCCCCCCTTCCCCTCCCCTCCACTATACGATCCGTGTTCCATGGCCAGCGCACACGGGCACAGGCACGTGAGATCGGTACCTCATACAGTCCTTCAACACCCGGCAGGGCCCAGCTGCTGTACAGACAGGCAGGGCTGAGGTAATTCACAAGTTAGTACTGGTATCAGACACAGATTGGAGTCCCTGCTCCCTGGAACAAAACAGCCCCATAGGCCACTTCAGCTCCAGCAGAGCACCCGGTGCCCAAATACCCATGGCTGCTCTCTGCTGCTTTGACTCCTCCAAGCCTCGGGAAGCATTTACTTCTGAAGTGACAAAAAGACTCCAGAAGGTGCCTTCCCCATGCCTCCCAGCCTGACATGTCAGAGCCGCTGAGCACTAAGGCAGCCTCACCAGTGTGCTGAGGTGCCTGCTCAGAGGGCTCAAGGCAGAAGATGCATGGTGGGCTCATGGGCCCTGCGGCCGAGTGTGCCCTCCTGGGGAATATCACCCAGTGATTGTGCTGGGCTGGCCCTAGCTAGCAGTCCATCACCCACACATCTGCTTATTAGTTCCCCCTGACTCAGAGTGGTGGGGGAGAAAATAGGAGGAACAAGAGCAAGAACACTTGTGGGTCAATATGAAGACAGGGAAATCACTCAGCTGCTACTGTTGCAGTCAAAACAGACTTCCCTTGGGGACTTTAATTTTAAAAATTGAAATGCTGATTTGGGTGTTGGGAAACAAAGATGACAAACTTTTAACAGAGTTAGGGAAACACATTTCATAAGCCATAACACCTTCTTCCTTTTGTACTCTCTCTCTTCCTTGTGATTCTCTTCTCCTTCTATTTCCTTCTGACTTGTTTCCATTGCTGTAACATGGTCCTGAATGGGAGACAGTTCTTTTAGAGAAGTCCTTGGCCAAGTGAAGGGTATCTGTGGGATGCCCTACAGGTGACTGATGGGGGTTGGGGGTGTGCACTCTGCGAGACACCTCGGCCCTGACAAACTTTGTAATGAACTGCTGGGGCTGCACGGGACACTGTATGGGCGTGACAGAAGAACAGAGGACTTGCCCTAGCAATCGTTGCCCTTGGATGCATGCCATGCCCCCTCCTTCTGGAGACGGGTTGGCACGGTGAGGAAGACGTGGATCTGGGCTCTAGCCAAGATAATTTCTCCTACCCATGTCAGCCTGGTTCCCCTGAAGACAAAGCAACAGGGTTGAGTCCTTCACTTGACAACATGGTACATTAATTTCATGTTGTCAGAGATGAACTCATTGCTCCAGAAGGATGCTCAGCTTACTGGGTGTCTCACCATAGTTTAGCTCCCCTGGGCAAAGACATTGGCAGTGTTCTCTCCTCTTCCGAATCATACTTGATGACCTCTCCAACCACGGTCTACATTATTGAGGCAAAAGGGATTGCTTATTCTGGAGAAAAGGAGGCTCAGGAGAGACCTTGTTGCTCTCAACAGCTACCTGAAGGGAGGTTGTAGCAGGTGGGTGTTGGTCTCTTTTCCCAAGTAACAAGTGATAAGATGAGAAGAACCAGCCTCAAGCTGTGCCAGGGGAGGTTTAGATTGGATATTAGGAAAGATCTCTTCCCTGAAAATGTGTATTGCAGTCAAGGCTAACATATTTTTCAGAGAAAATGGGATACAGCATGGCTAATAGCCTTTTCCTTTCTTAGACTCGATCACTGAGTGAGGCCTATACTGCAGGCAGGGACTGGCAAAGACTGCAGTGCTGGGAAGGGCCTGCATGTGAAGAGCAGTGGTGGTGTGAGCAGGGCTTGGGCTGCCCCTGCCTCAGAGGACTTGCGGAGCAAGGGAAGATGAGTGCAGGCAGGGGCATCCCCAGCGTTTGTGCTGTAGTTGGGTTGGTACCTGTCATGTACCACCGTGTCCTGGGACCACAAGCGATGCTTGAGCCATGGGGCTGCCCGTAGGGGTCACGCACACAGTGAAGAGGGACTGGAGAAACGTGGATACTGGCAACTGACCCTGGTGCTTGAGAAGCAGGTTTCGTTAGGAGGTGATGAAGCCTTGGTCCCTGGGCAAAACAAGAATGTGCCCAGTGAGAATTAGGAAGGTGGTGTCTAAGCCCAGAGATGTGGGCAGAAGGACCATGGGTGGAACCTCCCATAGTTCACGGGTGCTCTGTGCCTGGGCCATAATTTTGAGCTCAGAGATGCCTACAGGAGTTCCTTTTCTGCAGCCAAGAGACCACAGACACCCGAGGAATGCCAGGATTTAGAGTATTACCCGGGGCTGAATGCCAAGGTCTAAAAAGAAGTTTTCAAGTATCACTGAAAAGCGTACCTAAATCTTGGCATTAATACTGAAGCCACGAGTTGATTGCACAGAGAAGATGGACACCTGAAACAAGCCATGGGATTCTTTTGGGGGTGTTTCGTTTATGGGGAGTGGGGAGTCCATTGCACAGCCTGAGCATGGCTGATCCCAGTACTAACTTGTGAATTACGTCAACCCTGTCTGGACAGCAGCTGGTCCCTGCCGGGCGCTGAAGGACTGTATGAGGTACCGGTCTCACCTGCCTGTCCCCATGTGCTCTGCCCATGGAATCCAGATCACGTAATGGAGGGAAAGGGAAGGGGGAGATAAGTTAATGTGCCTGTCCCCAGGTCTGATTTTCTCTACATCTCCACTCCTGCCACCCTTTGGATACATGTTGTAACTCACGACCGTTGGCTATGGAGTAGCTATGGATGTCTTCCTCAACTCCATGGAAAAGGGGACTGAAAGCGTCGCCTTAGAATGAAGGAGGACTCGGAGGCCCAGGTTTGGGTGCAGCACAACTTTAATGAGTCTAAAGAAAGAAAGGAGTTGTCTCAACGGCAAACCCAGGAACAGCCAACACGGTGTGTTGGAACTTCTGCGGAATGTCTGTCTGCCTGTCCCACAAAAGGAGGGAGGCCAATAGGTCCCTGCTAGGCAGGCTTTGGGAGACAGTGACAGCAAAGGAGAGAGAGAGAGAAGAGAGTGCAAGAAGGAAACAATGTCCTGAAGCAATTAATGCAAGGCCATTGGTTCTCTATTCCAGCAGCATGTTCTGAGGTCTCAGAGGGTCCTGCCCAAGGACGCTGCCAGCAGCTTTAGCAGGGGGGGCACTGTCTGCTGCAGTAGCGGCTGGTGATGCAGGAGAGGTCAAAGCCCCCCGAGTTGATGGGGACTCCGTCACAGCTGAGGATGCTGCCAACAGCGGCGGAGGTGGAGGAGCCCACAACGGTGTTCTGTGGGAAGGAGCTGAGGATGGGGCCGGGCAGGGTCACCACCACGGGGGAGGGCTCGATGACGACGGTGGAGCTCTGGCACTGCCTGACACAGGGCTCATTGCAGCTGTTGGCCAGCGGGGTCGGGCCGCAGGGCTGGCAGCAGGGCACGCAGGGCTGGCACGGGCTGCAGCAGGACATGTCTCGGGGCTGGAGGTGCACCTGGGGGAGAGGGCAGCGGGGACAGAAAACGGAGGCACGTGAGAAACAGCAACGCACCCAGCCACAGTGGAGCCGAGGCACCCCCGAGCCCAGTGTATGCTGCCCAGCTCAAAGCCCCGGAGCCGCCTCCACTCAGTCCCAGGCTCTCTCTGCAGAACAACTTCTCACCGCTTCCCTCCCCCATGAGAAGCAGCTCCCAGCTCTGGCCTAGGACAGCCCGTGTCACCTGAGACATACACGGAGGAAAGACCTGATCTTGAAGGAGGAGCAGAAGAGGCTTCACGCTCACCTGGTTCCCAAGGAGAAGGAGGTGAGAGAAGTGGATGAGAGAGGAGAGAGCTGGGCTGTCTTTTATAGTCGTCCAGCACTGCCTCGGGCCCAGAGGCACCTCTGTGGAAGTAATAATTTTCTGACAAGCTCATGCCAAATGCAAACCATCCCAGCTAATGGCATGGGCTGTGTCCTGGCTTCCTGCACTGCTGCCTTTTCATTTCCTGGCTTCTGTCGCGCTTTCCTATATGAAGGCTTCTGTAAGTGCCGGGATGAGAGGCCTAAGGTTTTCCGGGCAGAAATACATCAGTGCAGGTGGAAGACTCGACTCAAGTGCTGGTGGCATCCCGTGCAGGCCGGTGCTGTGGCAAAATTGTCAGGAAATGGGCACCGCTCTTGAGATCCTTTTCCGAGTATGCCCAAGGACCCTCATGAGAGAGGACACACCAAATGCTTTTTGTCCTTCTGCTCCCATCCCTCTCTGAAGGTCCATCACTGTTGCACGCATGTTGGCTTCTGCTGGAAGGGTTTGACACTATTGCAACACTAACAGTACTCTGAGGACAAATTTGCTGCACTCGTGTCCACCACAGGAGCATGAGTGGGGCCCGCTCTCTTCCCGGGTTACTTGAATCCTGTTCTGCCAGTGTGGTCCCCAGCGTCTCCCCAACAGGGTCTGCAGCTGCCGATAGTTTCCTGGCTTTATGTGAGTGTCCAAAATTTTGCATGGCTCCATGCAGGCATGTGTGAGCACACGTGTGTCCCTCTGTACTTGTGTGACCCTCATGTTGAGGGCATGTGCAGGTCATACCCTGGGCACTCTCCCCTGTTGTGCCCGTGAGCACCGCAGAGTAGCAGGTTGCCCATGCCAGGGGGAGTCCATCTGCAACTGGAGAGCGGTGCCTTCGATCTGGCAGAGAGGTGCCCAGAGAACTGAAGCACATTCTCTGCCTCCTGTGCCCGCCAGTTCTTGCTCTACATAGATGGAGGGAGGCCAAGAAAGCCTGCCCGCTTACGCAGGATGTTGTCTGTGTATCAATCCCCTTATGATGTAGTGTTGCTGGTGACTGGGACGGGGCACAGCTTCTCATGTACCTGACAATGCCAGATGCACTTCTGCATGGTTTTAGACCTGTGAGCCACAGGGGGTTTCAAACAGCACTGTGTCAATCTTCTTTGCTGTTCATGCACGAAGACTTCTGTAGCCCCCATAAAAACACAGAGTTTGATGGCCTCGCAACTGTGTCTGGAAAGTCATGGACCTGTGATTTTGTGGAAACAACCTACGCCTTGCTGCCTGTTCAGAGGCAGGTCCGGAAAAGTCCATCTTTGCACAGAAAGAAACTTGTGGACTGACCACATCCCCTCATTCCATATCCTACTGTGCTGATTAAGGATGGAGTAAATAGAAGAAAAGGGATTGGCCAGGGAAATTGAGCCTGTGAAAAAACAGTGGGGATGGAGTGAAGGTGTTTTTCCTTTTTTCCTGTTTCTCGGAATGCTGCTCTATTTTTCATTGGTAATAAGCTAAAGGAATATTCTCCACGTCTAGCCTGTTTTGCCTGTGTTGGTAACTGTTAATAATCCTCCTGTCTTTACGCTGACCTGTGACCTTTTTCACTTTACATTCTCTTCCCGTCCTGTTGTGGAGGGAGAAGGAGTGAGCAAGCAGCTGGCTGGGTGTCTGGAAGTCAGGCAAAGTCTCTTTGCTTTTGCAAAACTATGGTAATCAGGAGCGCCATGAGTGTTAATCATATACAAGTTTTTCTTCCTGCTTTCTATCTGCGCCATCAGGAGCAGTCTTTCTCCCACTACTTTTCCCCTCTGAGGATGGTGGGCAACGATGTCAAATGGCTTTTGTGCTTGTGTACCTGGTGTGGTGGATGCACTCGATGCCCCATCACCAAACTAGCAGGAGGTTGGTACAGGCTCCAAAGGAGGCCAAGGCCTGAGCTGTGGCCAGGCCAAGAACTCCTCTAGGAAACCCACAAAGGAGCAGAGGACAGTGAGTACCAGTGCATATGAGCCTGGCACACCCTGAATAGCGGGTGTTTTTTCCAAGACTCATTTATCAAAGAACAAAGGAAGTTGTGGGTACAAGGAGTCTCCTGCATACCTTCCCATTGTATGCAATTTGACTAGGAGCCAACCACTTTATCCCAGAAATGTGACAGCCTAAGGGAGCCTTCGTTGACCTCTCCCTGCTAGGCAGCATGGCTGCATGGCGGGCATCCCCCCTCGAGCTAGGATGCCTCTCAAGTTTGCTCCTCAAAGCAATGAGATCTTCCTCCAACAACAGATCATTGCATGAGCCCGATGTGATCTCTCCCTGTATGGCAACTGGACTGCACGCCAGGCAACTCTCCCCCTAAGCAGGGGTGCCTCTCACTGTGAAGAGATACTAGTCAATTAGCTTAAATAGCTAAGATTTAAATAGAATGAATCAGTTATGAAGTTGTTTGATTTAGTCTGCTGTTTGCTTAGCTTTGTCACTTTGCATGAGTAGCTAGGTTTGCCAAAGCCTCAGGCCACAAGCTGTAAACTTTCACCTAGATTTACTGAACGTGCACCTACCGAAGCAAAACAAGGCCTCAGAGCCAGCGCAAACCAGAAGGAAAGGAGGCTACAACCGTCAACAACAGCTGCAGCTAGACAAGGAAGCGGCCTGTCTGGAGATAGTCAAGGAGTCCAATAAGGAGTCACAAGATCTCAGACCAGAATCACTATGGGACCAAAGGGAGGGCAAGTAGTCTGTAAGGGTATAAGTGCCCAGGGATTTTTTGTTCAGGGTCCCTCTGGCGGCACCCAGTTCAAGCTAATCCCGCTCCTGTACCACTCTACTAAATTATTTAATTTTATAGGATTTGATGCCTGAGACTTTGCTTTGGAAAGCCTAGGGATTGAACTACGGAGCGAACTAACACTGGACGCCTGGATGGCAGGTGATTTATTTAACATCAAGGTTTGAGATTTCTTACCTGAGGCTGAGGGATCTTTCCTTCTCCAAGGCAGGGAGACCCTTTACTTGCAACAGATCCTCGGTAAGTGACTGATAGCATGTCAGATGAATGTCTGTTGAAATCCAGGTAGCTAGTTCCATTAGCCATAAAGTGTTGACCAAGTCTGCGACTAACTCTGGATCCAGCCCCACCAAGACACCTCTCTGAGAAGGAGTTAAAAAAACAAGGGAGACCATTCTGAAACTCCAGACTCAACGGGAGGGTCACCCTTACTCTTTGGCATCTCCGGCCTCTCTGTAAACCATTCTAAACTGATTCTAAATCGATTTGCCTTTGTATCTTTGTTCCATGCAGTAAGTAATAGAGTGAATCTTGCCATCGAACTCTGTTAAGTTGCACTTCTACAGATCCAGGTTAAAATCACTGTGGCTAATTCCTTTGATGGTGATGCCTGAAGCGGTTTAAAACACTTATCTGCAACAGCTGGGAAGAAGGTTTAAAACCATGGGCAGCTTTAAAGCCTGCTGGTACTAGGTTTAAAAGCTAGTAGCAGGTTTCAAGCCATGGACAGAGCACAGCCCACCAACGTTCTTTACCTAGCCTCCAACATAAAGTAGACCCTGAATGCCATGTGGGAGGAAAGCTGTGAATAGAAGTTGCTGTGCTGATGGCATCTTTTCTTCAGCTCTATCTGAGCCTCCTAGCAAAGGTCCTGCATCAGAACTGATGACAGAGAAGAAACACCTGCTCCCTTGGTCATCTCAGACTCCCTTCACCATTTTTTTTTTTTTTTTCCTCAACCGTCGATCACCCTTTGCCTCTCTTTTCCAGCCCGTTCACTCTCAAGGTTTCACAGATAAGTCAGTGCAGAAGATCTTGGCTGTCTTTGTAGCCCTGAGTTTCTGAGGTTCAGGTACCAAGGCTGTTCCCCGTGATCCGTTGGCTTCAGGAGAGGAGGAGGCAGGAGGACACGTGCAGACCAAGATCCTCTTCCTGTGAGGGGCTGGGGTTAGAAGCCTCATAGAAAAGGAGAAGGTGGTGAGAGAGCTTCTGCCACGGAACTATTATTCCCCTGCACTCCAGGATGAGATTGCTCTTCCAGGAGCTGCAAAGAGAGCGTGTGCTGTTGTGGTCTGTGTTCTCTCTCCACATGACCACGGAAGGAACTGTCAGACGCTCATCTGTGTCATCTTGCAGGCCCGTGTGAATAACTTATTTGTCCTGGAGGTGACTCTCTGATGAGAGTTGGGGGTGTGCAATCTGCAAGATACCTTGGCCCTGTCAAACTGTGTAATGAACGGCTGGGGCTGCATGGGGCACTGTATGGGTGTGACGGAAGAACAGAGGACTTGCCCTAGCAATCCTTGCTCTTAGATCAATGCCATATTCTTCTTTTCTGGAGACGGGTGGGATGTGAGGAGGAGGTGGTTCTTGGCTCTAGCCGTGCCATCCTCCGTCCTTGTGGCCATCTTCTCTCTCAGCCTTCTCCCACAGCACAGCTCCATCCAGAGCAAGGGGGACTGCCTTGAGTGCTTGTGGGGCTGCTGATCTCCCAGGGCCTCCTGCAGCACTTTGGTCCACCCACAAAGACAGCACAGATTGGAACCACGATGCGCAGGGCATGCTCAGAGGAGAAGGGGAATATTTCTGGGCAGAGATGCAGCAAGGGAAGGGCTGATGGTCACTGGCTGTGGAGGAGCCCGAGATCTTGTCCTCAGCTGCAAGGGAGAGTGGCTGAAGGAGGCCAACAGACAGTGTGTCCTGCCCTCCTAGTCCTGTAAGAATGAGAAAGGATCCACTTGCTCACGCATTTGTTCCCTCCCAGCCTATCTCCTTTCTCCCTGAGCACCTTTGGAGAGCATCCAGAGAGGAAAGACCACACAGAGACAGATGCTGGGATGCAGCAGAGTTTAATGAGACCAGAGAGGGAAACTAGATGTCTCTGAGGGGAGGCCACAGCAAACAGGTCACCATGGGCATCCAAGAGTCAGTGCCCCATGATCAAGATGGAGGTTCCACA